CGACTGTGATATCATCCACTACTGCTCCACCCTCCTCTCGAATCCAGCCTTGGTCGATCGCAAAACACTGCCAAAATGAAAAACGCCTATATGAATCCTATGCATCAACCTCGCGCAGTTGATGGAGGCATGGCGCGGCCATGGCGCGACCATGGCGCCTTAAGATGAGCGGCGGTCCCAGGCTTCCTTTGCCAGGACGGCTGCCGCTTGTTCGCTGAGGTCAAAAGGCTTCAAGTTGACGATCTCGACGGCCTATTCAAACTCTGCTCAAGCTCTCAGCTCCCTGACTACGTCCCATAACTGGCGCAGGCAGGCCTCCTGAGCAGTGATAAACTCCCACACCCCATCGCTGCACACCAGCAGCAGCTGATCCTTCTGCTTGTCTATGTCTATCCTTAGGACGGATAGAAAATTTCAGCATGCCCCAGGCCGTTGGCCGTTGGCCAGGGCCTTGTGATCTCCGGCTCGCAGGTGATGCCGCACTCCGTGTGGCCTACAGCCCGGGTGCTTCAAGCCTTCGTGAGATGCTGAAATGCCAAGGCACCCAAGATGTCACCGATGCAGCGGGACATGTTGAGACCAGGGTAGCGCGCATTCTTAGCCTGGCGAATTTGGAAAGGGCATGCATCAAAGTCAATGATATGAGGGGACAATAAAATTAAAGGACCGGATAACCCCACATGCGCATTTTTTCAGTGAATGGTTCTCTGGTGGCCATGCGATAATGACTGAGTGAGTGAGTGAGTGGCCACGGGGTAGCGCTCGGTCACTAGTAGAGTGCTCTCTTCTTTTCGCTCGCGAGGCAGAGTCAGGCGCTAGATTATTCACGGCTTCCTCTTCTTCAGACAGCTGGAAGTCTAATAAGCCTGAGCTCGAGCTCTAATAAGCCTGAGCTGGAAGTCTATAAGCCTGAGTGAGAGTGAGTGAGTGTGAATGAGTGCAAGTGAGTCTGGACAAAAGTGCTGCGCCTGTCACGCAGATTGAGCCCCCGAGCCGCGCGCTCGACAACATCCAGCCTCTCTAAACAGCAGCCATATGTTGCCCCTGCCACGCAAACACACACACCCAGATGCAGAAAATACTGCGCCGGCCACGAAAACTATGCCCCGTCTCCAAAGTGCTGCGCCTGTCACGCAGATTGAGCCCCCGAGCCGCGCGCTCGACAACATCCAGCCCCTCTAGACAGCTGCCACATGTTGCCCCTGCCACGCAAACACACACCCAGATGCAGAAAATACTGCGCCTTGCGCGAAATTTGCAAGCCATCTCCAAAGTGCTGCGCCTGTCACGCAAATTTAACCCCCGAGCCGCGCGCTCGACAACATCCAGTCCTTAGACAGCTACCAAATGCTGCCCCTGCCACGCAAACACACCTCCATATGCAGAAAATACTGCGCCTGCCCCCCGAGCCGCGCGCTCGACAACATCCAGTCCCTTTAGACACCTACCAAATGCTGCCCCTGCCACGCAAACACACACCCAGATGCAGAAAATACTGCGCCTGCCACGAAATCTGTGCGCCATCTCCAAAGTGCTGCGCCTGTCACGCAGATTGAGCCCCCGAGCCGCGCGCTCGAAGACATCCAGTCCCTTTAGACAGCAACCAAATGCTGCCCCTGCCACGCAAACACACACCCAGATGCAGAAAATACAGCGCCTGCCAGGAAATTTGCAAGCCATCTCCAAAGTGCTGCGCCTGTCACGCAGATTGAGCCCCCGAGCCGCGCGCTCGACAACATCCAGTCCCTTTAGACAGCTACCAAATGCTGCTCCTGCCACGCAAACACACACCCAGATGCAGAAAATACTGCGCCTGCCACGAAATTTGCAAGCCATCTCCAAAGTGCTGCGCCTGTCACGCAGATTGAGCCCCCGAGCCGCGCGCTCGAAGACATCCAGTCCCTTTAGACAGCAACCAAATGCTGCCTTTGCCACGCAAACACACACCCAGATGCAGAAAATACTGCGCCTGCCACGAAATTTGCAAGCCATCTCCAAAGTGCTGCGCCTGTCACGCAGATTGAGCCCCCGAGCCGCGCGCTCGACAACATCCAATCCCTTTAGACAGCAACCAAATGCTGCCCCTGCCTGCAGAAA